CAGTAACATGGCGACATTAAAGCGCGACAGTTAGTGATCAGAAAGGGGGTGGGGGGTCGCTAACATGGGATGTTGGGGGTGCGACTTGTCACATACACACGTTCATCCCCTCCCACCACTTCACACACACACACACACACACGCACTGAAAGAGCCGCCAGCAGAAGAGAAAGCCACACCTGAATAAAATCCCCTTCCGGCACAATATCGACACGGTCAAACGGTCCCACACCACAGGTTATGTGCGTGACGTCATGTGACATTCCTTCAGATGTTTTGGTCAACACCAGTACTGCTAATGTTCCATACCACCCACATCTAATTAGTATTTGATGAAATTAACTTCAGACATTTTTTTTTAAATTCACTCTTCACCTTCTGATATGCCTTATCCATGACCTTGATGTTGCCCTTCAACTCCCCCCTCCCCACCCCACGCCGCACGCTTATTTTCTCGAGAGGACAATATCTAGACGGCATGAGTGTAGGACCACGGCTACACAGCGGAGGACACTGCATGTGCTCGTGGAACACAACACACCAACACGGGCCATGGGGTCGTTTGGACTTGACTTTCACAGGACTTTCTACAGCCGACGTGTTGAAGCAAATGGTTTTAAAATAAACCGGGAGTGATCTCCCCTAAACTTTCTCGAATATTCTTATATAAAACAACAGGGGATGGGAACTCGGGCTATTGACATGATTTTTAATCCATTTTAAATACTTAAAGTTTTAAAAATAGAATAAAATCTCGTAGACAAAATAATTGCACGCCAAGTGAACTAGTGAACGCCAAATAAAAAAGTGCACAATAGCGCGCAATATTATTAGTACTTTAAAAATTTACATTAGTTTTTTGAGAAATCGGAAGTAGCGTAAATTACTACTTCCGGTCAACGGAAATTACTCAAAATTTAACAGAAGGTAGATAATTAGATCTTTAACTTACATGTGAAATTTCATTTATCTATCTGAAATAGTACTCAAGTTATAGGCTTTTGAAAAATTCAAAGTAGGAAAAGTACCACTTCCGGTTATCGGAAATCGCTCAAAAGTTGATACGGATCTACGATTTTGATAAAATACTTATATATGAAATTTCATCAACCTAGCTATAACGGTACTCAAGTAATCGTGTTTACACACGGACACACACACAGACACACAGACATACGGACAGAATTGCAAAGCCCAGTTTTTCAGACTGGATTACGCATAAAACCTCTTAATTTTGATAAATCTGGATTGATAAATTTTGCCCGATTAAAATAAGTCCTCTATACTTCGGATGTGATGAAGGACTGAGGTGTAATACGGTGAAAATTGTTAAAATTTCAAGTGATTTTTGTGCACGATTACAATACTTTCTCTATACTTCGTATATACGAGAAAGTAAAAAACTAAAAGTTTAAAGTTGGGGCTGGTCAGATCACTGTGGCCTGGTATTTGGTGTTGAAATTAGTCCAGATGGTAATGGAGGCACGTTAGTTTACCATTTCACCACACCATTTACCTGACCCCCCCGCCCCCGCACACACACGTAAAAAAACATTTACACCTATTCCCCCCTCCCCTATACCCACACCAGTCTCTGCCTTCTTACGCAACTACCTACACACAGACCAGATCCCCACTCCTAAACACGCACATATTTACACACACACACACACCATACTGACCCACACAGACCAGTCCCCACCCTGACCCCCCCCACACACACACACCAACATGTCCTCGGGACGATCGCTGGTCAACTTTCAACTCACGTCTAACGATGGATTAACGACGGATTAACGATGGATTAACGGGGATTAACTCTGTCAGACGACACACATTTGTTAACTCATTGGTGGTGTGTCAGTGGGTACAACAGGGGTGGGGTGGGGGAGGAGGGAGTCAGGGGGGAGGAGGGAGTCGTGGGGGAGGAGGGAGTCAGGGTGGAGGGGAGTTAACGGGAGGTGGGGATACGGGATCTGTTAGCAAGCTCAACATGGTTAAAATAAATATAGAGAGACGAACTGATCAAACATATTTTAATGATCAATACATTCTGCAGAGGTTGGACATCACCCCTCCCACACATACACACACACTCGCATATATATATATATATATATATATATATATATATATATATATATATATATATATATATATATATATATATATATATATATATATATATATATATATATATATATATATATATAAATCTAATAGAAATAGGAGTAGGCAATTTGAGGTATAAGAATGATGTGATCACAGAAGATTACCAAGCTCATCTTCAGGTGAAATCTTATTTTATTATGTTGTAATAAACCCCCTGGGGCATCCCCCCTCCCCCCCCCCCGGGCAGTGGGTGTCGACCACTGGTGTCAAGTGACCTGCTGCTTAATGACATGTGATGACATGTGGTGACATCTGCTAGTGCACGTCATTCATCACAGCCTGGCTTGGAGACTTGAGCGATTTCCCATGTCCGGACCAGCAGCCAGTTTAAAATCAATGGGGCTGTGTCGATAAGGGGGGGGAGGTGGGGGCGACTGTAGGTGACATGAATGGGCTTTGTGATTGAAAGGAGGGGGGTGTTGGGGCGCTAGCAATGGTGAGTGGGGGTAGTCACGTGATTTGGGTGGGGTATGGCATGTTGAGAGGCAGTGTTGTTATGGTGTGAGAAATGTGGTTATATGAGGTATGTGTGGTAAAGTGAGGTATATGTGAGGTATATGTGTTGATGTCAGGTATATGTCGTGCTGTCAGGTATATGTGTTGATGTGAGGTATATGTGTTGATGTCAGGTATATGTCGTGCTGTCAGGTATATGTGTTGATGTGAGGTATATGTGTTGATGTCAGGTATATGTCGTGCTGTCAGGTATATGTGTTGATGTGAGGTATATGTGTTGATGTCAGGTATATGTCGTGCTGTCAGGTATATGTGTTGATGTGAGGTATATGTGTTGATGTGAGGTATATGTGGTGCTGTCAGGTATATGTGTTGATGTTAGGTATATGTGTTGATGTGAGGTATATGTGGTGCTGTCAGTAGTGTCAAGTATATGTGGTGCTGTCAGGTATATGTGTTGATGTTAGGTATATGTGTTGATGTGAGGTATATGTGATGATGTGAGGTATATGTGTTCATGCCAGGTATATGTGATGATGTGAGGTATATGTGTTGATGTCAGGTATATGTGTTGATGTGAGGTATATTTATAGACTCCAGCTAATTTAATTAAATTATGCTAGTAGCACACAACTAAAATGACTGCCACATTCCACTACCACCATTCTATTTTTAGTACCAAACAAATGCATACATCGAGATTACAGTTCAGCTGGTCTGCACATACATGAAGGGAGAAGTGGTTTAAAGGTTCTGATACCTGGGCGATACTGATCACATACCTGATACCAAACGATATGTTCATTGCCGATACCCTACATTGATGATACTATCAGTTAATGGGCATAGGCGCTACTGACAGATACAGGACGATACCGATTCAAAGAACAAAGGCGATACTGACAGATTCAGGGCGATACCGATTCAATGAACCACCCAACAAAGATAGTTGTTAATTATAGGGCGCGCACTGTCCTAATACAATCAGGAACTACTTTACCTGATTGTCAGGTGTACTAATACAATCAGGAACTACTTTCCTTGCTTGTGAGGTGTACTAATACAACTAGGAACTACTTTGGTTGTCAGGTGTACTAATACAATCAGGAACTACTTTTTATATTGTCAGGTGGAGGAATAGAATCACGGGTAATTATTTGAATGGACATGTGTTCTAGACATAATTAAAAACATTCTGGTAGAAGATTCTGTTTAACGCCATCATCAACGTCTCACAAATTTCACCAACAAATACAACAGTGGGTGGGTAGGGGTGGGAATGAGTTACATCAACTGGAACAAACACTACAACACTACAGATCAACTACGTTCTTAGATCGATGGCTGGGAGTTTGACTAGATGAGTGAGTGGTTTTACCGGGGCGTTATTTGGAACTTCCCGATTGAATCACAACCATTTTAAATCGATCCTTCCCCCCCCCCCCCCTTACCTGCTTGAGACAAAGAGTGAAGATAATTGGGAGGGGAGAGGCCTGAGGTAGAACAAAACCTTTGCTAATTAAAGCACATAATGAAATCAATAAACAACACATGTTATAACAGTCTTAGTGGGATTCATGTCCTGATGTATAGATTTATATTGGAGAGTTGGAGAGTATAGCTTTCATTGGGTATTTTGTTGTGATTGATGACGTGTCCTATATAAAACTACTCAGTGGTCTGCTCAGGGTGGGTTGAGTATACGGGTAACACGTGACTAGACGTGAAGGTGCCTGAGACCTGCAGCAGATCTGAGTACCCGGTCAACACACGACACGGTGTGCGCTAATTAATTATGTTAATGTCGTACAAGCGTCAACCCAACTCAATTTCAACATGGAATGAGGTCCAAAGTAAAATGATACCAGATAGAGTGGAGACGGTACATGTGACCTACAACAGGACAAGCTCGAGTTAATGGGATGTTTGTTTTCTCGTTGTATATCGTTCATGTTTTAAGATATATCGGAATACAATATTGAGTCTTGAATGGTTTAGTACAAATTACAGAACAGAATAAAATACTGTGTCGTCTCTGGTTTAAAGTTATCGAACAGACAAAGAACAAGACGTGTAAGCAGTGAAGTAGCTAGACAACTTGACCAAAGGGTGCACCATTGATTAGTGTCTGTCCAGTCCCCTCAAACTTAATGAACATAAATGAACCCGCCCTAAGGTTAAAATACCGACCCCTCCACCCCTCTATTCCCTGCCCTAGCTAGACTACTTTTTACAACAAAATCAGTTTAAAAGGCCAGACAACTCAAAGAGACTTAGTACATAGAACTTAGGATGAAACAAGAGTGTAGGAAGAAAGGCGTAGTGAGTTAAACAAGACTAACACACAAAGATTGTATTTAATGTGTACTCACCCTTGAGACTTTTGCCTGAGTCAGGGGAGGTGGCCTTGACGTCGTGTCGGGCGGGTGGGGGTGTGTTAAGTCCAGCGCTTGTGTTGGGCCGTGACGCGCTGAAGGCACTGCCAGCTACGGGGTATCTGTAAGGCGAAGTAGCCGCCGTACCGTTGGCGTCTACCGGTTTCGAACTCCGGCCACTGTCATCGCGGTTGAAAGGGGAGAGAGAGGAGCGACTCCCCCGGGGCTTGGGCTGCCAGGTCCTGCCAGAGGACCGTAGAGATTCCTGGGACTCGCCCACGCGCAGTCTCGGCGCCTCCTCGTTCTCGGAGGGTCTTCTGGAACTGCGAGAGTCCCTGGAGGTGTCGGCGTCTCTGGCACTTCCTCTGGCGCTTCTGTCCAAGTCACGAGCACTATCCCGAGGGCTCCAGTCCCTGTCCTGCCTGCGAGGCGTCTCGTAGCCTGGCTCTCTGTCTCTCCTGTCGTAATCTTTATCCCTTCTGTCATAATCTTTATCCCTTCTGTCGTAATCTCTATCTTTGTAATCCCTGTCCCGTCTATCATAGTCTCTATCCCTCCTGCCGTTATCATTTTCTCTCCTGTCATATCCTCGATCATAATCTTTATCCCTCCTGTCATAATCCTTATCCCTCCTGTCATAATCTTTATCCCTCCTGTCATAATCCTTGTATCTCCTGTCATCATCTCTGGAACTGAAACTAGAGTCTCTATCACGTGGGTCTCCTCTTCCGCTGCCACGTTCAGGGTCACGTCGATCAGGGTCACGTCGAACAGGATCACGCGAGTCCACGGCCGGCTTCCTGGAATAGTCCACGCCGAGGTCCTTAGACCTGGGCTCTGGCCTGGCATGGCTCGACTCCACTGACCGGTCGAGGTCGGTGGATGTGTTGTGGTCACTCTCTCTGGATTGGCTGTCGTGTTGGAATGAGGGCGGCGACCTGCTGCCGTCTGATTCTTTCTGCAGACGGTCAGAGCGGGACTCCTCAGACGTGAAACTCTCCTCGTGAGCAGACGAGCCTCGCGATGACGTCAGACGCCGGGGCTCGTACGCGATTTCCGGCACCTGGAAACGTGACTGAAGTTCGGAAATTTTAGAGTCTTTCGGCTTGGGCTTGGCCAGAGGTTTCTCAGGCTCCGTGGGGGATTTGGCTTTGGGGGACTTTGATTTGGGGAACCAGGAGCGTTTCTTCTCTGGCTGGGGGTCCTGTGGGGGTGGGGACTGCGGGGGTGGGGACTGAGGTTTCACGGCTGGTAGGTGTGTACTTGGATGGTCGTCGAACGAATCATCGAGGTTCGTTTCTTGGATGGGTTCTGGCGATCTAGGCTTGGGTATACTTTGTTCTCTGGTGTCTTTTGGGTACTGAGGTATGGGCGACACATCTTCTTTGGGGCGTTGAGCTAATGGTGACACATCATCTTTGGGGCGTTGAGCTACTGGTGACACCTCAATGCGTGGAGGCTCCACTTTAGGGGTGTTGGCCACGTTTGGTGGTGATTTATTCCCCGTGGGTGACACTCGCGAAACAGGGGAGGCAGGGAACTGATCAGATTCGTAGCTGGAATCTGGGCTGAGGTGAGCACTCGGCGAGACGGGAGACTTACTGCCCTTGTCGTCAGAGGAAGACGAGGAGGATGAGCGCAGGGACTTGAAGAAGTTAAATCCCCTCGGCTTGGGCGTCGGTGTTAGATCTTTCTTAGGCTCAACCACCGGCTTGGGTTCGATTACAGGTTTGGGTTGAATAACTGGTTTGGGCTGTATAACCGGTTTGGTTTCGATAACCGGTTTAGGTGGTTCAACCGGTTTCTGAATGTTCTTGATCTCACTGGACTTTGGCCTCTCTGCTGGGATGGGTTTCGGGCGGATGGCGACTTTTTCTTCTGGCTGAGGTTTGGACGTCTCTGGCGGCTTGATGACGGATGGGGCGGGGGGCAGGGCTATGGTTGGGGTGGACTCCACGGGTCGGGTGGGGACGGGTCGGATGATGGAGGGCTCTTCTTCCGGTTCCGGCGACTCCTGGATGTCGGAGTAGCGTTTCTCAGAGCCGGGACGTTTCAGGATGCTCTTGACGTTCGGGTCAGTGGGTGAGACGATGACCTTGGGTATGACGTCCTCGTAAAGGTCATCCATGTCGTCACCGTTGACGAGCGGGGCAAGAGAGGTCGGCTTGTTGGCTTGAGGTTTGGGGGTAGGTGAAGTAGGTGAGGCCGGGCTCTCCCCCCGCTGAGGTTTGGGCTCCTGTTTGGGCTCTTCTTTTTTCTTCTCGAACATGGCTCTGATCCTGTCGAACGGCACGATGGGTATTGGCATCAGAGCTTTCGGCTTGTCTTTGGTGCGCATCTTGTCGCTGGGGAGCTTCACCGGCGTGGGCGTGGTCGGCTTGCTCTCGGTGTCATCTGATTGGTTCATAAATGAAGGCGTGGTGGGGGCGGACTTGGAGGGGTAGCGAGGGGAGCGGAGGTTGCGTGCAGAGGTGGGGGGTTGGACTCGGGTCTTGATGACCACATTGGAGGAGGTGGAGGGGGTGGTGCAGGGGGAGGAGATGAGGCTGGGGGAGAACTGCCAGGAGGACATGGTGGAGGAGGAGCCATACTTGAGCAGACAGCTGCCGCTCTTGGACAGGCTTGACTGCTTGTACCAGTTGGGGACGTTGAGCTTCTGGAGAGACTTGCTGATGCGGAGCTCGTGGACTGAGGGCACCCTCTGGAGGTTATCCCCCGTCGGGGACGTGGTGAAGGGGTCGTCGAGGTTGGTCTCTAACGTGCACAAACTCTTCGACTTTTTGTACTGTCTGCTCGCAAACCGGCCCTTACCGGCCGATTTAGAGTTAGGAGTGTCATAATAATCCACCCCTGACCCACTGATCGTGGTGTAGTCAGAGGCGTGACGTAGCTCACTCATGCTGGCCGGGCGGTCTAGCACCTGTCTGCGGTCATCCTGAAATGGAAAGGTTAGGTCAAACAAATCGCTATTGGTCTCTGGGAAGTAGGCGTCGCCCAGATCTTTCGTGTTCGCATCTGCCTCCAGCCTGAGCAGCTGCTTGTACAGGTCCGTGTGGATGTTGTCGATGGACAGGGCCTTGTCCATGATGTCGCGCCGGCCCTGCTCGGAGAAGATGCAGTCGTCGTGCAGGCAGTCGACGTGTGCCGTGTGCAAGTTGCTCTCCGACTTCCGTGACAAGTTGATCATGTTCATGATTTTGTCCAGCTGCTCCTGACTCCGGTACTTCAGACTGCTGGACGTGAACTTGGGCGTGTATTTCCGTTCTTTAGAGGGCGCTGGAGCTTGCAGCAGGTTTTCTTTACGCGAGGCGAACTCACCAGAGAGGGCGTCTGAGTTTAAGTTCTGCTCACTCAAAAATTTGTTCCTGGACTGAATTATTTTTAACCTGCTGGGCGTGAGCAGGTTGTCGGGGAGGACGAAGGGTGCGATTTTTGGCGAGGTGGGCGTGGTCGGCCCGCTGGGGGGCTGGGTCAGCACAGACTTGTAGGGCTTGAACTTTTTCTTGATCTCCCTCATCGTCCGCGGCTTCTGCGGCGGCGCCTGGCCGAACTGCGCATGCGCCCAGGCCGTGCCACGGAACGGGACGGACATGGGCTGGGGCAGCGATTTGGCCGTCAGGACGGGGGAGTCCAGGGCGGAGTCGGAGACCGGACCAGGTGACGTCAGCACTGACGTGGAAGTGGTGTCCTGCGGGAGCACGTCATCAACGCTGTCCATCGAGTGAGATTTGTGAGTGTTCGTCTCAACAATTTCTACTTTCTTCAAATCCTCTTTCACCTCGCTTTTCTCTTTACCGTCAATTTTATCAACGTCACTTTCATTATCTACCTCATCGCTTTCTTCTTCATCCTCCTCATCATCTGTTGTATCCTCCTCGTCCGTTAAATCACTCTCTTCTTCTTCTTCCTTTTTATCTACCACTGGCTGTTTATTGAGGTTTAACCTCAAGGCCTTTTTGTCAAGAATTGGTAAAATGGTGGGCCTGACCTCCATCTTGATCTCGAACCTCTCGTTACCCAACGTTGGTGACGCGATCTCCGGACCAATGGCGTCAGCGTCAGCAAACTCCAGGCCCATCAGCTCGGGGCGTTCGATGACCGTAGCACCGACAGCAGCCACCTCAATCTTCCGCTCCGGCGTGTCGGGTAACTTCCGGGGCGTTCTGTCCGTGTTGGTGCTGCTGCTGGTGCTTGTCATTCTGGTGCTGCTGGTCATCATGCTGGTCATCTTGGTGGTGCTGGTTATTTTAGTTGAACTGGTCATGGTGGACAGCCCTGTGGTGCTGGTCAACTTGGTGGTGTCCGTCATGCTGGTTGTGTTTGTGATGGTAGCGCTGGTCACGACGGTAGCGCTGGTCACGATGGTGGTGCCGGTCATGCTGGACGTGCTGGACGTGGGGGAGAGTTTCTCCTCCACAAAGTTCGAGCCGGGGATGACCCGCGTCCACTGCACCTGCTGGGGCGTGACGTCAGGACACGGCTCGACTTTAATGGCGACAGTGGGAGTGGCGGGGGCGTCGGCCGACGAGACCGAGTCCGACCGTGGGACCGGGGTCTCCAGCACGACGTCCAGCGACGGCTCCACCGACACCCCACTCACGGGGCGCGGGGAGCTGAACACCCGCCAGTCTGTCATCTTCATGTCAGCAGTCGGAGACTCGACAAAGCCTTCCCGGCTCCGGCTCCTAGATAAGCTCTCCCTGCTGCCAGACTTAAACATACCTGGTTCCGAGTCGTACCGCTCCAGGGCGAAACTTCGGCTGTCCTCAAACGATCGGTTCAAGATGCCACTGGACTCGTCCCCCACTGATCCCAGGGGTGACCTTCTAGCAAACACGCCAAGCTCAGCCTCACTCTGGGCCGTCGACGTCCTCTTTAGCTTGGCTTTCTTCGGGTCACTGTCATCCCCCGGGCCGTCTTCTGACCGTTTCTCCGCCTTTCTCTCACTCTCACTCGGCTTGACCTCACTCACCAGTGGTGTGGGGGACAGGGTCCTCCCGTCATTCGGAAACTTAAACACATCCTTCTTCGATGCCAAATTCCCGCTTAGAATTCCCGACGAAGACAGAGGTGTCTGTAGGTGTGTAAGAGCTTCCGGCTCCACGCTATCAGGCGTTTCATCCTTTTCAGAAATATGTCGCACAAACTCCTCGTAGCCCTCCTCAGCCGGCTCGCTGAATGCCGGGATGTCGCGGAGAAACGAGTTGAAGTCATCAGCCGGTTCGCAGCGAGTGTCGGAATCTATTAACGGCTTTTTGGGGCTGTCGTAGGCAAAGTTGGTGGCAGAATGTTTGGGTAAGGTTGGGTGACCAGGGGAGGTAGACCTAGGCTCAACGGTAGGAGTGGCCGTTGGTGGCGCGCGCGGTGACGTCACGGCCAGGCGGTCTGTTGGCTGAGTAGGTTTGAACACCTCAATGGGGGGAGGGGAGAGGGAACGCATTTCAGCGCGGACCGACGGGGTGAACGAGGGCGTGGATCCTGGTTTTGGAGAGGGCGCCGCCAAGGTTGGGGAGGTGACGGCCCCGTACTCCAGTTTAGCAAAGTTGGGTTTGGCCGGGAGTGGGGGCCGCTGGGCCCCTCTCTGTGGTGTCTCCACCATGGCTGGTGTTTGTTTCATGGCGACACCTGTGTCCAGGTAGGCGAACTTTGGCTCGTGAATTAAGGCACTGGTTTCAGCACTACTCGCTGGTTTGTCGTCTTCTTTTCTATCGCTTTCTTTTCCATCGCTTTCTTCTTCATCACTTTCTTCCTCTTCTTCGCTTTCTTCCTCTTCCTCATCATCCTCCTCTTCTTCATACTCCTCATCGCTCTTATCTAAATCGGTTTCCTGAACCTCTTTCGGCTTATTGTTATTCGCTTCCTCATCATCATCGATAAAGTCAATATCCTTGATATCATCAATATCATCCGTGCTATACATCATCTCCTGCACCCTCCCATCATCTCCCTCCTCCATCTCCTCATCCACCCTCTGGTCATCATGACCTTGCTCGTCTATATACACCCTCTCCTTCTCAATGTACCTAACGATAGGGAACCCGCTCTCCGTCATGTACTCGTCCGTTTTAAACTCGTCCAGGTTGAGCTCGAACCCCAGCTTCTCCTTCAGGGTCCGGTCTGTCCGCGCCACCGCGTCCACCTGGTCGAGGTACCCCATGTCGTCCTCGTACCCGGCGGATCCGAACCCGTCCACCTCAATCATCATGGTGGTGCACGAGCTCTGGCACTCGTCGTCGATGGGCTCCTCCTGCACGTGCGGCACCAGCTCGTGACGTACATCCTCCGGCTCCTCTTCCGGTTCCTCCTCGTCACGTGGTATGAGGTCATCACGCCGGTAGCTCCTCCTGTCCAGCAGGTCCTTGACGTTCTGCAGCGTGCGAATGATGGCCCTCTCCGGCGTGATGGGGATCACGAAGGTCTCCTCAATCACGTTCTCCTCCCAGTCCTCCTCTCCCGCCTCGCTCCCTCTCGTCTCTCCACTCACGTCTCTCAAGAAACTATCCCTCTCCATACTCTCAGGATCACCCTTCACCTCACTTAAGTACTCACGTTTCCCCACATCATCGTCCTCTGTGTCACGCAACACTCTACTCACGCCTTGACCTTCAAACCTCACTGTCCTTACATCACGTGACCAGTCAATGTCCAGCTCTTGACTCACCTTATCCCCCACACCACTGTCCGTAAAACCCTCCCGAGTCCTCTGGGGTGATAGACCTTCAGAGTTCAAGGCCGCGTAGGACTTGTAAGCTTTCAAATCGTACTTGTCCTCCTCTTCATCGTCGTCTTCATCATCAAACGCCACACCCCCTCCCTCACTCACATACCTATCTCTGTAAAACGCCTCTTTCTCCTCCTCTCCTTTCAACCTCTTGTTAGCATAGGCGGCGCCGTCACTGACGGGCCGTTTGGTTTTCACAAAGTTAGTGCGTAGATAACTCGCCGCGTGAATGGGGCTATCACTGCTCTCAGAGGACGCCTCGCGAGTGATGACCGTCCTCACCGACTCGTCACTCTCAGAGTTACTTTCCTCACCCGCGGTCACCGCGTGAGCAGGTTTCTCACGCGCGCCATCAACACGAACAGGGTCTACCTGTGTTTCAGAACTAACCACCGCCTCACCTGTGCTGCTATCAGAATGCGGAAATCCTCTTGAAACCGGAATGTCACTTTGTGTATTCAAAACACCACCCGACTTGCTGTGCTTATCAACACTGCTACCGAAAGCACGGATATGTTCAACGTATTCCTTAGCACTCAGCACATCTGGATCATCCACGAAAGTATCCACACTAAAATCCACTCCGCTGGGTTTGAAATCCGATGGATATTGACTGCGACCAGATTTGAAATTTTTGTCACTGCTGTGTAGTACGCCGTCTGTCGTCTGCGAGGCGATATCCGGATCAGCAGCCACGGTCTTGTTTACGTCCGTTAGACCTGCGCCGTGGTTATCTGGGTCAGGCAAGCGACCACTCAGGTGCGTGACGGGTCTCCGTGATGGCACAGCCGTGTTTGGCCTACTTTGCGTTGACGCATGCGCATCGCGGGACGTGGGATTCTCCGATGTGTTGAAGTAGGGTCGACCTTTGACCCTCCCGGTCCGGCTGTCGTACGTCACGCCGCGTTTTCGTTCCTCGTATTCGAGATCGTACTCACCCTCCTTCCCGCTCTCGCCCTGTCCTCGGCTGCTGTTGCTGCTTTTGTTGCTGTTGCTGCTCCTGTTGCTGTCGCTGGATGTGGTGATGTCGTCCGAGTCCTCCTCTATGATGGGCTCTAGCACCGAGCAACAAAACAGCTCCTCGTCTGAGTCCAGCTCTCGCGGCTGGACGTCGTCGTAGTCGTACCCGTACTCGTTCCTGTAGTCCCTCTCATCGGGTATCCCCAGTAAATCGTCGTCCAGGTCCGTTTCAAAATATTTATCTGGCTCATTGTAGCGGTCCCGGTACGGGTGGTAGTTGTCGTCGTCTAAGATGTGGCGGTACTCCTCTTTGCTGCTGTTGGCGCCGCTGCTGCTGTCGGTGCTGACGTTGAGGTTCATGTCCCCCCGGGGCGGCGCCTCCACATCCTCGACGCTTGAGTCAACCAGCGGCTCCGTGGCTCGTGTTGCTGCCAGCGGCTCCGTGGCTCGTGTTGCTGCCGACAGCTCGGTGAGTCGTTGAATGACCGGCCCCGTGTTCTCGCTCACCGTGTTGTTGTTGTTCAGACCGGAAGAAGGTACCGAGTACGGCGAGTATCGATTCCCGTCACCGAGCCCGCATTGTTGTGTGTCGCCAGCACCTGCGTCAAGTCGATCGATAATTTTAGTGTCAGCCACGAGCAAAGGCCGGGAAAACACCGTGGTTTCCCAAGCTGGTCTATAAATAGTCTCAGGGTCGGAGCTCTCCTCGTCACCGTCCAGCGGTAGATCCACCGGCACACGAATGATCGGCTTGAGGGTGGTCAGCTCGAAGCTCAGCCCCCGTGCCGACCCGCGGGTGGGCGTGGCCTGCTGTGGTCCATTTCCCGCCGGCCGGTGGGGTGTTGAAGTGACCGCGCCAGGTGAGGCGGCTACGTCACGCTGGTGACCTCCCTCCTCCATAGCGTCCCCTCTCCTCTCTTCCTCATTCAGCTTATCCAACATCCTCCAAGAAAACATGATGGTGATGATGGTGGCGATGGCCGCAGTCAGAAACCTCTCAAAGGCCCCGTCAGACTGAGGAGGGACCCCCGATCCCTTCGGCAACCAACGATCCATTTTGGGGTCGCTCTCCAGATAAAAATCCTCAAATTTCCGGATTAAAAGAATCTCTTAAAGATCTGCATTTACGAAACAATGCAAATGCACGCTACACGATTCTGTATACAAACAAGCCATTATCCGAATAGTCCTAGTCCAGATCTTGTTTTAAAGCAAACCTAGTCACATTGCTAACTTTTTATCTCTAGACAGCTCTTAACAGATAAAAACCTCCAGTTATTAAAACCAACGGGGAACACGTTTCAAATGTTTTTTTCTCTCCTGCTAAAAATAGTCCTACTCCACCTAACCGTCCACTGAACATCAGACGTGAAATAGACGTCGTCGTGACGTCCCACACATTCTACAAACGTCTTAAAGTCCTAGTCAAACAAGTTCGCCGGATTGGCGCTTTGTTTATGTGACACAGTTCCGACAGTGTCACGCTTGACTGAACGCGGGTGTCTGCAGCTAGATATGTAAGTAGGTAGGGGAGTCTATCAAGCGTGACCAGGTATGAAGGTAGACATGTAGAGGTTCTAACTGTGCCTAAAGCTGGAGCGTTGTTGTAGTGTGCTAGTGGGTGGTTGATGATGTGTGCATTCAGATTCAGCTAGATGTTGTAGCGTTAAGTCGTTGAAGGCAGTATGTCAGGTTATTGAAATAGGTTTAATGACAATGGTTTGACATCAGTATAACGAAATGTTGACATCACTATAATGAGTTGATGTTGACATAGTATAATGAGTTGATGTTGACATCAGTATAATGAGTTGAAGACCAATCAATTCAGTTGCAGGCATCAAAAGACGGAAGCTTTGGTAATTGCTAAAAATAGATGGTCGACTGGCCCTAGGTCAAGATGACCCAGCGTGTAAAGTAACCTTGAATTTCTCCATCATGAACCTTGCCCGATGCCGGCTGATATAAATCCTTACACGCAAAAAAAAAAAAAAAACGGAAACTAGTTTGTATCAAGATTCTCAGAGTGAATGCCCCTGCTTTAATACGGCTCACTCTATGACTGTCGGGTGTTTTTGGATTAGCTTGATCCTATGTCGTAGGAAGTTGCGGTCGGTATAACGTCAGATATAATGGCATGTATGACGTATAGTTTCCTATAAATAGTATTGTTAAAAGTAGAAAGTAGTTGCCTTATGACGTATAAAGTAGCACGTAAGAAGCACGCGTTGGCTAACTTCGCGTGAGATGACGTATAACTATGGCAAATCCTAAATTTCCGCCTCTACACAACACAATACAACACAACACAAAGATCGACTGGATTCAACGCCCTTAATGCGTGCCACGCTTGAACCGCTAAATCCAACAATTGTGTTCGCTGGTCAAATCTCGGACAACACAAACTCTAATCCACGCCGGTCAGCATTGGACTTGGTGATAAGTAATCCTTACAGTATAATCTCTAGATCGTATCAAACTTACTCCACGCTTCACTCCCCTTGTTGTGAGTCGCTTCCCCTTGGTGGTCAGTTGTTCCCCTTTAGGAAAACAAGGGCAGTCATCGAATGATTTATTTAGACGGCGCAAACAAAAGCTCGGATCGTCGACCACGAGTCAAATATTCGCTGCGAGACACGAACCATTTTTGTTGGCCGTGGTCAAACGTAAGATATCGCAGCTGTTGGAGTTGGTGCTGGTTGCTGTATCGGTTGTTGTAGTTTGTTGTAGTAGTTGTTGTGTCGGTTGTTGTAGAAGTTGTTTTATTGGCTGTTGGAGGCTTATTGCTTGTGTTGTTGATGTCGGATCAAGATGTTGATTAATTTTTTAAAATCTGTAGAAGGCGCTAAAAAAATGGTCTCTGTTCTGGTTGCCTGCTGACTTGCAAGTCGTGACGTCAGATGTGTGACTGTCTTTGTTTGAGACACAGACACGTTTCACCAGACTGACCAGACGAGACACGAGACGAGGGCATCACGTGACGGGAAATCAATCAGGCGTGGACGCCGTGTAAAGATCTACGTGACGTCACGTTAGGAACAGCTGGGTTCAAGTCCATGTACGGTGATGTGTGATGTGTTACGACAACACATCTCAAGTTATGCTCATACACATGTGTCAAACCTACTATGTGCTCATACACACGTTTTAAACCTGTGCTCAAACACGTGTGTCAAACCTACTATGTGCTCATACACATGTGTCAAACCTACTATGTGCTCATACACATGTGTCAAACCTACTATGTGCTCATACACATGTGTCAAACCTACTATGTGCTCAAACATGTGTGTCAAACCTACTATGTGCTCCACACATGTGTAAAATGTAGACATATACGGCTGTTTAATTCCTTTATACTGCGCCAAAAAGCATGTCAGCTATTTAATCAATCCTCTAATGTTATGTGCTTTAAATAGGATCAATGTTGAGTAACATCAACGCAATTTGTCCAACAGACGCGACAGCACCTGTGCGTGTGAGCGACATTATATCTTCCAGTGACTAATTCGTACTCAACTCCAAGTCACCTAAATCATTGGGCAACGGGAAATATAATCCAGTGAAACGGCCAATGTGGCAATACAAGCAGTCGGATAATCTGGCAACACAAAGCTCCGGAAACCTGGCAATACTCGACTTACTATTGATGGTTGCGTTTATGGACCTCATGGGTCTTCTCTAGTTCAACTCGTATTTGAATAAATTAGCATGCATTAACAGCTCGAGGTACGATCGAGTGAAGATTGAAATCCAAAACCGAGTTATGTAACACCTGTTTCAATCGACATGCAGATGCAGGTCGGACTGGGGAAAAACAAAAACATTTCGGCTAAAATTACATGCACAATGGTCGCTAGGCTAAAGTTACATACAGAATGGTCGCTAGGCTAAAGTTACATGTAGAATGGTCGCTAGGCTAAAACATTTCGGCTAAAATTACATGCAGAATTGTCGCTAGGTTAAAGTTACATGCACTATGGTCGTTAGGCTAAAGTTACATGTAGAATGGTCGCTAGGCTAAAGTTACATGCTAAAACAACTTGCTGAGTCATCGCTAGACCTTCAGTAAAACAAGGTCCTACAGCTACAGGCGAATGGTCATTAGATTAGAACCTCATAGATTTAGGCAAAACACCAAAGACAAGAACACATGTAACCAAAGTTACCAACAACATAATACAGAAACCACTAAAAACCAAAAGCCAATCAGTTAAACACACACCAACCAAACTGACCAAGATTTCAGCTAAACACACCGTTTTTAACCAAACACGTCTAAATACCTACCACAGACAATCATCTTTAAAAAAAACAACTAATGCAGAAGTTGGAGACGATATAGTAATGTCATGAGGTGTGGAAACGACAGAGTGACGTCGTGAAATGGGGGGGGGGGACATGAGAGTGACGTCATGAAGTGAGGGACGAAGTGACGTGACGAAGACACCCCCCCCCTGACCTGACAACAGTCCGCGCCATTGTTCTAAGGGTCAGCGTTAAGTGCAATATTTGTCGTCTGCAATATTTGGACAGACTGTCGCCACGTGCAGGCATGACACGTGACCGTTAGGTCCTTTTCTGCACACCGCAGGGCGAGACCACTGGGGGGCGTTACTAGCAGTGTTTCTTCCAGACTTTTTTCTCCGGGGTGCGCTTAATATTTTCGGAAGGGGGGGGGGCGGTCTACATTTTCCGGGGGGTAGACACTATGTTTACTGTATAAATTCCATCTCGTTCTAGGGGACGGTAGACTTTCTTCAGCCCCCCCCCCTCCCAGCACCCCCCACCCTCGAAGAGATGCCTGGAAGAAACAGTGGTTACTAGACATTGCCATTAAGATATGTCCCATAGAGCGTGATTGGTTGCCATTAGACGTGCCCTATATAAGTTAGATAACCGCTACTAGATATGCCCCCATGTGCACACAAGTAGTGTGCCCCCCCCCCCATATTTCTATTAAAAATATTAGAAAGAAACATCTGCTGAATAACGGATAAAAATAATTTCTCAATTAAAAATAAGCGCTTCATTAACAGAAAATAAATTTTTTCTTGCAATACATTTTTATTTATTTATTTAAAAGTAAACTTTACGTTAGTATTAAAATTAAAACAGTAAAATCGTATAAGTTCTTTTGAAATCAATTCCTTCAGAAATCGATTATTTGTTTCAGTACATCGATAACAAAATCTAATTATAAATAAACCGAATTTGAATAGAGCTGAACGAGCCCCGGTTATACGCAGTAAGATAGCAACAGGTTAGACGACATGCAGGTCTGCTGTTTTACGCATCGGATCTCAACACAACGTCACGCTTCATGTACCACGCTTAATGGGGTTGGATCAAATAAGTTAAAAACAATACATGTATGTCTAGATTGACTCTAGATCTAGTACTTACATGACGTCAACAGCACTAGTGTGAAATGTGTTACAAGATTCTCATCACAACACACGCAGTGTTTACAAATAAAGCTGGGTAAGAATGACACAACGCGTCAAGTCGCCACGTCAACACACCTTCGGCACGCAGCAACACACTAAGACGTGTACACACACGCCGGCAGAGAGACCGTTTTGTTTTTTATTGCGGTCCTTCCAAAAATTGAACCAACTCTTCTTCTGCTGCCCCCCCCCTCGCCGCTCTCTCGCCAATCACACACACACACACACACACACACACACGAGTCACGGTATACTAGTCACGCACCATTTGTGTGTTGTATGTTGTGTTTTCACTCCTCGGTGTGTAGTGTGTCTTGCCATCATGTGTGACTAGCTGGTGTGTAGTTAACCGTAAGAGAAGTTATTGGTATTGTTTATCTTACCACATGTTTGTGTTATACTATTCATATTAGCGTTTAATACATCGTATGTTTGTGTTTAACGTGTGTTTATGTTTTGTTTTGTTACGTAAAACGTAAATTACCTGACGGTCCAGGGGACAGGTGAAGTAGAGTTCACCTGTTTCAGGGATGGGTGGACTCTGGGATTTGAACTCGAGACTTTCAGGTTAGCAGTCGTATGCTCTACCATCCGACCGCCCCGCCCCCATGTTACACGTTCATTTGTAACTTTTGTTACGTGATTTGTTTGTGTGTACGTGTATCGCCCTCAGTACCTCACTAGCGTGTAACTACACGATTGTGTCACAATCCACTGGGTAGCTACAACACATGTGTTGTAACTACACGGTGGTGTCACAATCCCCTACAACACATGTGTTGTAACTACACGGTGGTGTCACAATCCCCTACAACACATGTGTTGTAACTACACGGTGGTGTCACAATCCCCTACAACACATGTGTTTGGACCCTGTGAGCCAGGAAGTGAAAACTTTATGGTACCTTCCTGCTGGTGCTGGGACTAACAGGGTGATGTGTAGGGTTGGTGTGGTTGGTGTGGTTGGAGTGGTTGTTTAGGGTTGGTGTGGTTGTTTAGGGTTGGTGTGGTTGGAGTGGTTGTTTAGGGTTGGTGTGGTTGTTTAGGGTTGGTGTGGTTGTTTAGGGTTGGTGTGGTTGGAGTGGTTGTTTAGGGTTGGTGTGGTTGTTTAGGGTTGGTGTGGTTGTTTAGGGTTGGTGTAGTTGTTTAGGGTTGGTGTTCAGGTGATGTCGTCGATGTGGTTAAGATTAGGTTGTTAATCAAGAAATGCGACACCTAGCGTGATTATCACACGGCAAGTTATGTTTGGGCAAGATGGAATTATGTGTACGAAAGGGGAGGGGTGAAGATTGGCGACATGAAAGTTAAACGACCAGGAGGGGTGAAGATTGGCGACATGAAAGTTAAACTACCAGGAGGGGTGAAGATTGGCGACATGAAAGTTAAACTACCACTAAGTCACATTAACGAATACACGACAACTGTTTTTCAAATGATGACGAATAACCAAAGTTAAGGGGGGGGGGACGACTTATATAGCCAACTATGGTTGTGTGAAGTTGTGGGTTGGAGGGATTGAGTCTGTCTTCTAAACACATCAGCGGGACATGAAAGTGTATCAGAAAACACGCTAATAAAGTAGCGTTAAGGATCTTTGCATTGTCATCGGATCTCAATCTAACAGGTCAAGTTTGAAAAAAAATCAGTTCGGTAGAAGTTGGTGACATTTCGTTCGGGAGTCTCCACCTATGACGACATGATTGCCATAGCGCCTCAGAGAAAGCTGGTTAAATAACAGCTTGCAAAAAAATAGTTGTGAGGATAGCCCAATAAATCAACTCGTTTTGCGCATGATCTGTGTAGAAAAGTGCTAATCGGGGAAATCCCATCAGCTGGTTAGAACACGTCAGCAAAAGATGGGGGTTGGGGCGAGGGAAGCGATTGATTTTTAAATGCGAGTCGCAAATGATCGGACGATCAATATCAGTTGGCTCATTCAACGGACACGCCCTGGGTGAATAAATTGTGCCTGCAATTCAAATTGCGACAGTGTTTTTTTTTCTTCATGTAAAAAAAAATGCGACGGTTTTTTATTTGTTTATGTAAAAATTGGATGTTTTTTTTTTTATCAACAACAGAATTATCAGGAATATGTCGTTATTTTGTGTTAGAATTCAGGGTTCGAGAATGATCAATTTAGCTGACCAGCTGTGATTAAATTACGTAACCAGCTGTCGAGCCTCATCTGCCCGAGGGTTCGAACTCGAGACTTTTGGTTTAGCAACCATGAGCTGTACCGACTCGACCACACCGACACCCTGTTCTATCGAGTGTTGGGATGTGAACACTTGCTTTGTTTTTAAGATGTGGTCCATGCCTTATTGGGGTACACAATCCTAATCACAAGCATTCTAATGATTGATCTGACAGATCTGACGGTTCCAATCAACGCTGTTATAATAGATAATCATCGATTATTTCGATCATTCCCAGATGATACCGATGTTATTATTGATCATTGATAGTTTCAATCATTAACAGATGTCAATGATGGAATGATTACATATTGATTGTTTCAATCCTCTCCAGATGTTATCGATGTGATGATCAATCAATGACTGTTTCAATCATTCCCCAATGTAACTGATGTACTAATTAACCGTGGGTAGCTTCAATTACCTCCCCCCAGGGTGCCGGTACACGTACAGAGACCAGACAGACAGCCAACGTGAGCACCGACTAGGGTGGGCTAATCCATCGCTGTCCAGACCCCCCGGGGGGGGGGGGGGGTCGGGGGTAAAATAGAGGTTTGGGAATTGGGATGAGGGTAGAATAAGGATAAGGTGGGGTGTGTGGGTTGTGTGGGGTGGGTGGGACCTGCTCGACAAGAAACCTGTTACACGTGGTGTAATCAATAACCCTGGTGGGGTGGGGGGGGGGGGTGAGGGCTGGCGCACGCGCATAGATGCTAGAGATTACAATGTAATTATGGAGCGGTGTTTTCGGTTGTATTGATTACTATCTATTAGATCTAAACAATATTTTATCGGTTATATTGATTACTATCTATTAGATCTAAATAATATTTTATCGGTAGTATTGATTACTATCTGTTAGATCTATACAATATCTTATCAGTTGTATTGATTACTATCTATTAGATTAACCCAGCCACTAACCCTACAAGAACTGCCACTAACCAAGAAATTTCCTACCACTAACCTAGCCACTAATCCTACAAGAACTGCCACTAACCAAGAAATGTTCCACCACTAACCCAGCCACTAATCCTACAAGAACTGCCACTAACCAAGAAATGTTCCACCACTAACCCAGCCACTAATCCTACAAGAACTGCCACTAACCAAGAAATGTTCCACTACTAACCCAGCCACTAATCCTACAAGAACTGCCACTAACCAAGAAATGTTCCACCACTAACCCAGCCACTAATCCTACAAGAACTGCCACTAACCAAGAAATATTCCACCACTAACCCAGCCACTAATCCTACAAGAACTGCCACTAACCAAGAAATTTCCCACCACTAACCCAGACAAATCATCCCGAACTTCAACCTATTTATTCTGTAATCGAACACACTTTAAGATCGATCTATCGATTAGGTCGCAAGGTAATCCCAGGTCAGAACGGATTCATCGAAGTTATTGAATTTGTAATGTTTTCCCATGGCGGCCTCACATGTCGAGTTTAAACTGTTGCATACATCAAAGTCTTATGTCCCCCAATCCTAAGCCTGGTCCAGCTTATTATTGGCAGGCCTATTTTAGAGCACTGTCCTTGAAATGCCCATCCCATTTAGTACCACCCTACCTACAAATGCTGCCCACTAGACAAGTTTTCCCCAATCGATTGTACACTACACTAAACTTGACTAAACCACAGACGCCATCTTGTTGAAAATTTCCCCATCCAAAAAATACCGAAGACCCCTGGAGTACAAACTCTCCCACTAATTACGAGCAAGTGTTATTTCACCCAAGGGGAAGCAACTATCAGAAAGTAAAATCCGGTTTTCTCCCCTGCATCAGTCCCTGTAGGTCTCATTCACAGTTCACAATAACAAATACCCGGTGGAGGTGTCGCCCTTTACACCAAGTACTTATTAATATTATCGTTTTGCTGATGTGAATAAATGTTTTTTATAATACCCCACAAAAAACGGGAGACTAGATTTGTGGGTTGAGGGAGGGGGGATTATTGTACACGTGTGTTTGTAAGGCTGTTATTAAATTTTTTAAACAAAATCCCAAATATAATATCCGTGGCTTACATCTGAATTAGAATTTATAATCTCAGTCTCAGTTATTTCCCCTGCATAAAGAAATAATGCTGCACGCCGATTACCTCCCGTGTTGGCTTCGATCAGATGAGTAACAAAAAAAATCAATAGGTAAAATATGTGGTAGGCCTATACATAATACCCCGCGGTGAAATCAGCATTTGAACGATAAAACGAAATATGTACAAGGGCCCCTAACTCTTGTCAGTAGTTTCAGTGAACTTTTAGTCGGGCGTGGGTTATGGGACTTGGGTTGATCACAACAATCTACGGTTATTGTTTTTGTACGTCGTTTTCAGGAAAGTTGGACGAGAAAATATAAGGACATATTTTTTTGGTTAGATGAAAAGCAGACAAGCATAGCGAGATTGTGACGTAGATAATGACGTCATGTTGGTCGTGTTCTGATATTATTTTTGACGTCTATGGCGAGTCTGTGGTTTATCAGTTAGACAGGGGGTCATATTGGTCATCTCGGTGACCTTTCAAGGCCGTTGTTGCGGTTGTGCTATGTGGACTTGATGCACGGTGTAGGCGTGTGGTTGTGTGGTTGAGCAGCTGTGTGGTTGTGTGCAGGAGTGTGGCTGTGTGTAGGCATGTGTAAAGAAGTTATTTAGGTGGTGAATAAATGTATGCGCTTAATCTTCAAAGAGGCAAGTTTCCTTTCTTTATGCGGATAATAACAACAGATAAGGGTATAAGTTGGTAGGGGACTTAAATAATGTATGATAAGAGAAAGGGGTGGGGAAAAGATGGGGTATCTACATCTGTTTACAAAGATAGAAACCAGTAGATATAAAGACATGGGTCAGCTACGTGTTAGGTAGCCAGAAG